ATGCGGCCCCGGCCGGGAGCGGAGGCGCCATGGGGAGCACAGGTTGGGGGAGAGCGAGCGGGGCCGACTCACCGCTAGGGGGCGCTAGCGAGCCTGGGACAGAGCAGGGCAAATGGGCGGGAATGCGCCCCCCCCCTTGTGCCCGGTCCCCACAGTCACTCCCACCACCATAGACCCTCAATCCAGGGGCCCATTTCAGATTTTGGTGGGGGAGGGCAACCTGTGCATGCCTGAGTGGGGGAGTGGGAGCATGGGGAGGCAGACGGAGGACAGAGGGTTCAGCGGTGTTACTGAGCATGCTCAGTACAAGCAAGCACCAAATGGGGGGCAAACCCCATCCACCCTCACCCCCCACACATCATCCCTAACCAGGGGCTACTAAGGCACTAGTAGCCAGGGATGGACTTACCCTCCTTGAACTTATTTTGTTCTTATTGGAACCCTATTATGAGTTGGGCCTTTCGACTATCTCCTGGCAAAAATTTCCACAGGCTGACTGTGAAAAAATAATGGATTTTGTGTGTTTTAAATCTGCTGCTTATACACGTATATGCTTACTTAATTACTAACTCTGGGGAGAGAGAGACCCTGTCAGGACTCCTGGGCTCTCTCTCAGGTCTGGAAGGGAAGTGGGATCTAATGGGTTACAGCAGGTGGCAGATACATTTCAGCTCCATATAAGAACATCAGAATGGCTATACTAGGGCAGGCCAAAGGTCCTTTTAGCCCAATGTCCTGTCTGCCAACATTGGCTAATGCCAGGTATGTCAGGAAGACTAAACAGAAGAGACAATCATCATGATCCATTCCCCTATCACCCATTCCCGCCTTCTGGCAAACAGAAGCTAGGGATATCATCCCTACCCAGTCTGGCTAGTAGCCATTAATGGACCTACCCTCCTTGAACTTATTTTGTTCTTATTAGACTTTAGTTTATAGTTTGGGCTTTTCCATCATCTCCTGGCAAAGAGTTCCACAAGTTGAATGTGAAAAAATAATTGATTTAGTTTGTTTTACATCTGCTGCCCATAAATTTCATTGGGTCATCTTCTTGTGTTATGTTAGTAAAGGAATGAATAACGTTTCCTTAATCTATTTTTCCACACCATTTATGATTTTCTAGACTTCCAACATCTCCCCAATGGTGCTTCTAGCCCTGTATCCTGTCTTCTGCCAGGTGCTTCCAAAGGAATAAACAAAAGAGGCAATCATCATGATCCATCCTGTGTTGCCTATTGGGTTATCTTCTTGTAGTATGTTAGTGAAGGAATGAATAATATTTTCTTATTCTATTTTTCTATACCTTTCATGATTTTCTAGGCCTCTAACATATGCCTCTATCCTTTAATCATTTCTTTTCCAAAATGAAAAGTTCTAGTCTCATTAATCTCTTTTCATAAGGAAGTTGTTCCTTACCCCTAATCATTTATGTTGCCCTTTCTGTACCTTTTTCAAATCCAATATATCTTTTTTTAGATGGGGTGACCACATCTGTATACAATATTCAAGATGTGAGCATACAGTGACTTTATATAGAGGCAATATATCATATTTTCTCTTATTATCTATCCCTTTTTCTAATGATTCCCAATATTCGGTTAGCTTTTTAGTTTTCAAACTGCTACTGCACCTTGAGAAGATGTTTTCAAGGATTCCAAGATCTCTTTCTTGAATGGTAAGAGCTATTTTAGATCCCATAATTTTTATATCTATAATTAGGACTATATTTTCTTGTGTGCTTTAATTTGCACTTATCAGCAGCGAATTCCATCTTTCTTTCTGTTGCCCAATCATACAGTTTTGTGAGATCCCTTTGTAACTCTGCAGTCAGCTGTGGATTAGTCACTGTTTCCCCTTTTTTTCAAGAGCATTTACGAGACATTTAACAGCAGTGCTCTAAATGCAGATCCCTGCAGCACAACACTTTCCCTCCCTATCTTTTAAGTGGCATACCCTTCACCCCCATGTTTTCATGATGATCTAACAATCCTTCAGTTACCTGAATAACCAGCCGTTTGTTATTCTTAATCACCCTGCCACTCCCTCTTTTTATAACAAACTCCATACCCCAAAGGCAAAGTTGAAAGCAGTCTGAACTGTTGCATTTGAGAACTGCATTTGGAGTCAGGGTGTGGGCTTTAAGCAAACCCCAATCATGAAATCTAGGGGTTCAGACTTGGGAAGGGGAGGGAGCTACCGCCCCCCTATCCACTCCAAATGATGCCCCTGCCTCAATCACTCAGCCCCACACAGATCTCTCCCCTCTCATCCCACTTGGTCTCTTGCACTCCCTCACAGACTTCCTGTCTACTTGTTCTGCTCTTCCAGTCAACCCACCCCCTGTGCTGTTTGCGTACTCCTGGCTTTGTGCAGATCCTCATCCTGTGCTGCTTAGTAATCCCACCAGTGGCACCTTGTGCTCCTCAGTAACTGCTGCCCCCACACAGATGCTCTATTCTTGTCCTTACCCTGTGCTCCTCAATCAACCCTGCCCCCTCCAAGTGTTCTCAGTTACTGCTTTCCTCTTAAATCCCTGATCCCCTCACCCTCTGTATCCAGTCTTCAGTAACATCTCCTCACAAACTTGTCCCTAAATTCTGTCCTCCAGACACCCTTTCCCCTCTTCCTGCAGCACACCATCAAAAACACTCACCTGCACTTACACCCTGTCTTCCTCAGAAATCCTCAAGCGTCTTCTTAGTCACCTCTTAGCCTTCACTTTGTCCTCAGCATCCCTTCCTTCTGCCCACTCACCCTACCTTTCCTCAGTCACACTTCATCATCTTTCTGCATACTTTCACATATAGTCATCTAATCACCCCACTCAGAATCTGAATTGGAGTGTAGAGAAAAGCAAGTGATGAAGTCTGTAAATTATGGCAAAGGAAGTCCAAAGCAAGACCTAAGGGGAACAGTTTAGAAGTGATCTGAAATAAATGGGAAGCCAGAGAAGTTGTTTGACAATCTGCATAGGTAAATAGTTGGCAAATCCCAGTTTGTGATAGGAGCTCTAGGGGGTAGCCAAGTTAGTCTGTTACTGAAAAAAACAACGAATGGTCTGGTAGCACTTTATAGACTAACAAATATGTAGATGGTATCATGAGCTTTCGTGGGCACAGCCCACTTCTTCAGATGAACGGAGTTATGAGTTTGGGATATGAAAACTCGAAATAAATAGGAGAGGGGAAGGGGAGGGGGGAGAAAAAGAAAAAGGAAGGGGTGTGTGAGACAGAGCATCATTAAATATCTGGAGAATGGGTACTTAAACCTAAGCAGATAAAAATCAAAGTCAATAGAGAGATTGCTAAAACAGGAAGAATACCACTCAGAGAGCTGTTAGCACCTTCAGTGGTTATTAAGTAGGTGGTGTCCTAGCTAGCCCACATCACAATTGAGTCCATTAGCATGTGAAGTGAATTTGTAGATGAACTAGGATTACAGTCCTTCCCTATGAATCTGGCTTGTGGAACTGGCCTGTGACAAGACAGCTACCTGCAGGTCTGTTAAACTGTGGTTAGGCAAGCAGAAATGTTCACCAGCAGGCTTCTGTGTGTTCCCTTTATGTATATCTGATTTGTGTCCATTGATACTTTCCTGCAGAGACCGTCCAGTTTGTCCAATATATATAGTAGCGGGGCACTGTTGGCATTTGATGGCATAGATCAAATTACTAGATGTTCAGTCAAATGACCCTTTGATTTGTGGCTTATGTTGTTTGCTCCAGTGATGAATTTGTCAGTGTAGATATGTGGGCAGAGACAGAGTTGGTATCTTTTTTGGTTGCAGGGCTGGGTTCCTGGAGGCTTATGATGTGGTTGTGTGGCATGGTTATCAGAAAGAATACGTTTCAGGTTAGGGGGTTGTCTGTAAGCAAGAATAGGTTTTTCTCCTGAGGCCTCTGAGAGTTTGTGATTAGGTTCTCAGAGCTCAGCTAACCCCAGGGCTTGACTCTCCTGTACCTTTTCCATGTTTAAAATCTACTGGAGTCCCTGAGATGAATAAAGTTAAAGGCAAAATCCCTTTGTAATGTAAATATGCTCTGCAGACAGCCAATGCCATTATGATATAACCACACACATATGTCTAGATCATTCCTGACAGATATTTGTCTAACCTACTCTTAAATATCTCCAATGATGGAGATTCCACAATCTCCCTAATTATTCCACTGTTTAACCACCCTGACAGGAAGTTTTTTATAATGTCCAAACTAAACCTCCCTTGCTACAATTTAAACTTATTGCTTCTTGTCCTATCATCATCCGGGCACAAGGATTGTTAGGAAGAGATGGGATCCACCTAACCAAGAGAGGAAGGAGCATCTTCGCGGGCAGGCTTGCAAGCCTAGTGAGGAGAGCTTTAAACTAGGTTTGTCAGGGGATGGTTACCAAAACGCTGAGGGGAGTGGGAAAGTCGGATACCTGGAAGAAATGCAAAGAGGAACAAGCAACAAAGGAGGACCCCTGATTCGAATGGAGAAGATAGGGCGATCAACTGGTTATCTGAGGTGTTTATACACTAATGCGAGAAGCCTGGGCAACAAACAGGAAAACTGAAGGCCCTGGCCCAGTCCAAGAAATATGATTTAATTGGGATAACAGAGACTTGGTGGGATGCCTCGCATGACTGGAGCGCTGTCATGGAAGGGTATAAACTGTTCAGGAAGAACAGGCAGGGGAGAAAAGGAGGAGGAGTTGCACTATATGTAAGAGAGCACTATGATTACTCTGAACTCCAGTATAAAGAGGGAGAAAAACCTGTTGAAAGTCTATGGGTTAAGTTTAAAGGAGCAAACAACAGCAGTGATGTTGTGGTTGGTGTCTGCCACAGGCCACCGAATCAGGTGGATGAGGTAGATGAGGCTTTCTTCGGACAACTGAGAGAAGCTTCCAGATCGCAGGCCCTGGTTCTTGTAGGGGACTTTAATCACCCTGACATCTGTTGGGAAACCAATACGGCAGTACAGAGGCAATTCAGGAAGTTTTTAGAGAATGTTGGGGATAACTTCTTGGTACAAGTGCTGAAGGATCTGACCAGGGGCCGTGTGCAGCTTGACCTTCTGCTCACAAACAGGGAGGAACTAATAGGGAAAGTAGAGGTGGATGACAACCTGGGAAGCAGTGATCATGAGATGGTAGATTTCAGGATCCTGACCAAAGGAAGAAAAGAGAGTAGTAAAATACACACCTTGGACTTCAAAAAAGCAGATTTTTACTCCCTCAGAGATCTGATGGGCAGAATCCCCTGGGATGTTAACATGAAGGGGAAAGGAGTCCAGGACAGCTGGCAGTATTTTAAAGAAGCCTTATTGAAGGCAGAGAAAGAAACCATCCCGACACGTAGCAAGAGAGGCAAACATGGTAGGAGACCGGATTGGCTTACAGGGGAAATCCTTGGTGTACTTAAGCACAAAAAGGAAGCTTACAGAAAGTGGAAACTTGGACAAATGACTAGGGAGGAGTTTAAATGTATAGTTCGAGAATGCCGGGGGGTTATCAGGAAGGCGAAAGCGCAAATGGAGTTGCGACTGGCTAAGGATGTGAAGGATAACAAAAAAGGTTTCTACAGGCATGTCAACAAAAAGAAGGTGATCAGAGAGGGTGTGCAGTCCCTAATGGATGAAGGAGGTAACCTAGTGACAGAGGATGTGGGGAAAGCTGAAGTACTCAATGCTTTCTTTGCCTCTGTATTCACGGACAAGGTCGGCTCCTGGACTTCTGTGCTAAGCGACGCAAGATGGGAAGAAGATGGACAGCCCTTGGTGGGTAAAGAACAGGTTAGGAACTATTTAGAAAAACTAAACGTACACAAATCCATGGGTCCAGACTTAATGCACCCAAGGGTACTGAAGGAGTTGGCAAATGTCATTGAGGAGCCTTTGGCCATTATCTTTGAAAAGTCGTGGAGATCGGGCGAAATCCCGGATGATTGGAAAAAGGCAAATGTAGTGCCCATCTTCAAAAAAGGGAAGAAGGACGATCCAGGGAACTATAGGCCGGTCAGTCTTACCTCGGTTCCTGGAAAAATCATGGAAGGGATCATAAAGGAGTCCATTTTGAGACACTTGAATGAGAGGAAAGTGATCAGGAATAGTCAGCATGGATTCACAAAGGGCAAGTCGTGCTTGACCAATCTGATTAGCTTCTATGATGAGGTAACTGGCTCAGTGGACATGGGAAAGTCAGTGGATGTTATATACCTTGACTTTAGCAAGGCTTTTGATACGGTCTCCCACAATATTCTTGCCAGCAAGTTAAGGGAATGCGGATTGGATAAATGGACGGTAAGATGGATAGAAAGATGGCTAGAAGGCCGGGCCCAGCGGGTAGTGATCAACGGTTCGATGTCAGGATGGAGGTCGGTTTGAAGGCCGGGCCCAGAGGGTAGTGATCAACGGCTCGATGTCAGGATGGCAGTTGGTTTCTAGCGGAGTGCCCCAAGGTTCGGTTCTAGGACCAGTTTTGTTCAATATCTTTATTAATGACCTGGATGTGGGGATGGATTGCACCCTTAGCAAGTTTGCGGATGACACTAAGCTACGGGGAGAGGTAGATACGCTGGAGGGCAGAGATAGGGTCCAGAGTGACTTATACAAATAGGAGGATTGGGCCACAAGAAATCTGATGAGGTTCAACAAAGACAAGTGTAGAGTCCTGCACTTGGGACGGAAGAATCCCAAGCATTGTTACAGGCTGGGGACCAACCAGCTAAGTAGTAGTTCTGCAGAAAAGGACCTGGGGGTTACAGTGGATGAGAATCTGGATATGAGTCAACAGTGTGCCCTTGTAGCCAAGAAGGCTAATGGCATATTAGGTTGCATTAAGAGGAGAATTGCCAGCAGATCCAGAGATATCATTATTCCCCTTTATTTGGCTCTGGTGAGGCCACATCTGGAGTATTGTATCCAGTTCTGGGCCCCCCACTACAAAAAGGATGTGGACTCATTGGAGAGGAACCAGCGGAGAGCAACCAAAATGATTAGGGGGTTGGAGCATATGACCTATGAGGAGAGGCTGAGGGAGTTGGGTCTGTTTAGTCTGCAGAAGCGAAGAGTGAGGGGGGATTTGATAGCAGCCTTCAACTTCCTGAAGGGAGCTTCCAAAGAGGATGGAGAAAGGCTGTTCTCAGTAGTGACAGATGGCAGAACAAGGAGCAATGGTCTCAAGTTGTGGTGGGAAAGGTCAAGATTGGCTATTAGGAAAAACTATTTCACCAGGAGGGTAGTGAAGCACTGGAATCGGTTACCTAGGGAAGTAGTGGAGTCTCCGTCCCTAGAGGTGTTTAAGTCTTGGCTTGACAAAGCCCTGGCTGGGTTGATTTAGTTGGGATTTGTCCTGACAAGAGCAGGGGGCTGGACTTGATGACCTTCCGAGGTCTCTTCCAGCTCTATGGTTCTATGATTCTAGGTCAAGGAGAATACATTTTCTCTCTCCTTGTATCACCCTTTTAGGTACTTGAGAGCTGTTATGTCCCTTCTCAGTCTTCTCTCTTCCAAATTAAACAAACCCAATTCTTTCAGTCTTCCCTTAGTCATAGATCATGTTTTCTAGACCTTTAATTGTTTTTGTTGATCTTTTCTAGACTTTCTGCAATTTCTCCACATCTTTCCTGAAATGTGATTTCCAGAAGTGAACACAATACTCCAATTGAGCCCTTACTTAGCATAGAGTACAGTGGAAGAATTACTTATTGTGTCTTGCTTATAATACTCCTGTTAATGCATCCCATAATGATGTTCCCTTTTTTTGCAATAGAGTCACACTGTTGACCCATACTCAGCTTGTGGTCCCTTCCTGCAGTAATCTTCCTAGACAAACTTAAAAAACAATGAATAGTCTTGCATCACCTTAGAGACTGACAAAAAATGTAGATGGAATCATGAGCTTTCATGGGCGCAACCCACCTCTTCAGATTAATTGAGTTAAAGGGGTCCAGTTTTCAAATAAATAACACAGAGAGAGGATGGGGGGGGGGAGAAGAGAATGGAAAAGAAGGGAAAAAAGGGTAAAGAAATTATCAGTTTGAGTGTCCATGCTAAATGAAGCTGATAAGAATACTTAGTATCAGCTCTAAATACCCATTGTTAGTTTTTTTTTATGTCATTAGGATGTGGAATGTAGTGGATCATCCAGCCAACGTCTTTGTTTAGACTTCTGTTGTAGGAATCAAACTTGTAAATGAAATTAGGTTCTGTAGCTTCCCTGTCAAACTGGCTTTTGAAATTGGTTTGAAATAATATGGTGACTTTGAGATCCATTAATGAGTGCCCAGGAAAGTTAAAATGTTCCCCAACAGATTTCTGTATGTTGCCATTTCGGGTATCTGATTTGTGTCCATTTATTCTTTCTCATAAAGAATGTCCAATTTGGTCAATATACATGGCAGAAAGGTGTTGCTGGCATTTGATGGCATAGATCAGATTAGTGGATGTGCCTCTGATGTGGTGGTTTACGGGGTTAGGTGCTGGGATGATATCGCCTGCGTAGATGTGTGAACAGAGTTGGCAACGGAGTTGATTGCAGAGATGAGTTCCTGGATGAGTATGTTGGAGGTGTGCTTCATGGTTATTGGAAAGAATTAATTTGAGATGAGGGGGTTGTCTGTAGGCAAGGATTGGTCTGTCCCCCAAGGCTTTTGAGGGTGAGGGGTCATTTTCCAGGATTGTAGATTGTTGATAATGTGTTGGACAGGTTTAAGTTGGGTGCTGTAGGTGATGACAAGTGGTGTTCTGTTGTTTACTTTGTAGGGCCTATCTTGAAGTAGCTGATGTCTGGGTACTCGTCTGGCTCTGTCAATCTGTTTTTTCACTTCTTCGGATAGGTATTTCAGTTTTAAGAATGCTTTATAAAAATCCTGTCGGTGTTTGTCTCTGTGGGATTGGAGCAAATCTGATTGCGTGTTAGGGCTTGTCTGTAAACAAGTGATTGGGAAATGTGTGTTGGATGGAAGCTAGAGCATGTAGGTAAGTGTAATGGTCAGTAGGTTTCTGGGATAAGGTGGTGGAAATGTATTCATCCTGTAATTGTACTGTAGTGTCAAGGAAGTGGATATCTTGTTTGGTCTGGTCCAGGCTAAGGTTGATAGTGGGGTGGAAGTTTTTGAAATCCCTGTGAAATTCTTCAAGGGTCTCCTTCCCGTGGGTCCATATCTCATTTTGTATGCGTGAAACTGATTGTTCTTTCCTAAGTCCTTATTGAAGTTAATCCTATTAACCTCAGACAATTTCTCCACTTGATCCAGATAATTTTGAATCATAATCCTATCCTCCAAAGCACCCCTCTGAGCTTGGTATCATCCAAATTGTTTATCTAAATTGTTGATGAAAATATTGAATAGAATTGGCCCCAAAACTTATCCCTGCGGAACCCCACTTCTTATGCCCTTCCAGCATGGCCTTGCCTTAAAGAAGTCATGCCTTAGTTGGCAATAGTTGTGTGTGTCCTTGATGTCTCTGGAAGCCATCTGTTGCCCAGTCAGACAGAAAGCCAAAGCATTGGCTGTCATCTTGTGTACATTTTGACTGTGATTATGACTTAAACTTGTACTGTTTTATTTACAGAGAGATGGAGATTTTTCTTCTGCTGTGTTGGCCCTCCACCAGACATTGAATCTGTTCTAAGGTAAATAATAATTTTTCTTTTAAAGAATTTTCTACATCTGGGTGGTGGACAGACAGGATCTAGTAACGAGGCTGGAGAGTTTGTAGACTAAAGTGACCAGGTGAGAAAATACAGCTCAACAGCAGTGTCCCCTCTTATTTTTTCGAGCCCTGTGCAGAATACATTTTGTTAAATGCTTGGAGGTGTTACAGGGGACAAAGGCAACTTAAGAAACAGAAATCAAAGATGACCCCTCTATCAGAGTAGCCCGTTTCAGGCACCCTTTTCCCATATCTATCGCTGGTGTGCTGGAATAATCCCCTCAGTGCACCCCCCAGTGTGATATGGAAATAATAAAGACAGACATTCTAGGTAAATTAACAAATGTATTAAGGGATTAAAATTACAATAACTGGGAAAATGGGGAATTCAAACAAGAAACACAATAACACAAACAATAGTAAGCATCCTTAACCAACAATAACAATAACTATATAATAGTGCAGGGATTTCATTGAAGAGGCATGACGCCAGTGCCCAGACACCTACTTTGGCCAGAAAGAAAGGAAGAGATGATAGAAAAGAACCCAAAGAAATAAACCTCTTTTATATTAGGGGGTGCTGATGGTCCTGTGTAACCGAAGCCTGATACCTTCTACCCTCAATCTAGTTTAAAGCTCTCAGGGTATGTCTACACTACCCCCCTAGTTCGAACTAGGGGGAGTAATGTAGTCATACGGAGTTGCAAATGAAGCCCGGGATTTGAATTTCCCGGGCTTCATTTGCATAAAGCCGGCCGGCGCCATTTTTAAATGCCGGCTAGTTCGGACCCTGTGCCGTGCGGCTACATGCGGCACAGACTAGCTAGTTCGGATTAGGCTTCCTAATCCGAACTAGCTGTATGCCACGTTCCACGAGGCGTACAGCTAGTTCGGATTAGGAAGCCTAATCCGAACTAGCTAGTCTGTGCCGCATGTAGCCGCACGGCACAGGGTCCGAACTAGCCGGCATTTAAAAATGGCGCCGGCCGGCTTTATGCAAATGAAGCCCGGGAAATTCAAATCCTGGGCTTCATTTGCAACTCCGTATGATTACATTACCCCCCCTAGTTCGAAGTAGGGGGGTAGTGTAGACATACCCTAGGGAGGAACTCCAGGGAGATCCCAGCGGGGAACTTCTATGATGATGGTGGATCACTGATAGTATATCTTCTCCTTCCCTTGTCACAGCCACTATGGTGGTCTGGGGCTGACAGGCGCATAGATGGAAAAGACCACACACCCCAGCAGCTGCACAGATCCTTAACCCTTTCTGTGGCGTGAAACTCTGAGGTGATGGAATGTTCCGCTTGGGTGGGAAAAAACAGTTCTGGCTGGTGAAAACCAGCACAACTCAGAGTCCTCTGCTGCTAACAGGCATTTTGACCAAAATCGAGTCCTTAGATCAAAAGTTCACTGCCTCCATTTTGAATGGACTGGTAAAAGGCTGTGATGTTTTTTTTTTTTATTGCTCATAACCTGTCCACAACTTTTACTAAAAATAACTGTGAAAAAATCATAGCCTTAATAATGACCATATCACATCATGTACTTACGTTTTGTGTTGTAAGCTAAGGACTTGGACAGCCATCCAGGAGAGATGCAGATGCTGTCTGGTTAGCAGAGTGCTCACAGCAGGCAGGATGTGTATTTAATGGTGGTGCACATCTAAACATGCCTCTGTTGGTACTAAACATTAACTCCTTTAGTACCAACAGAGGCATGTGGAATTGGTCTGAAACAAAACAGTGACTTGGAGATCCATTAATGAGTGTCCAAGAAGATTAAAGTGTTCTCCAACAGGTTTTTGTGTGTTGCTTTTTCGGATATCTGATTTATGTCCATTAATTCTTTCCCATAGAGAAAGAATTTGGCCAATATACATTGCAGTGGGGCATTGCTGGCATTTGATGGCATAGATCAGTGTCTCTCAAACAAAAACCCTAAGGGGTACTTGAGAGAAGTCTGGGGGTATGTCAACACAACTGAAATTTGGAGAAAAGCTGGGGGTTTTTTAAGTTTTACAGCGTTTTATTATTTTTCTACTTTTTACACCCAAAAATTTAATCGTCCGCCCTGCTACAACTAAGTTGTTTAAACAAATGTGTTGCAATGATAGAAAAAAATTGTGTGTGTCTGAAAACTGTACCTATTGGAGTTATTTATCATTTTTTTTTTGAAAAACTGGTACTTTATGAAAAAAGATTGAGAAACACTAGCATAGATCATATTAGTGGTTGTGCAGGTAAATGAGCCTCTGATTTGGCGGCTGATGTGGCTGGGTTGGGTCCAGTGGTTGGGTTCAGTGATGAACTCGCTTGTGTACATGTGTGTGCAGAGTTGGCACCAGGGCTGATTGCAGGGGTGGATTCCTTTTTTTATAATCAGTTCTGTTCATAATGTCTACAGCGCCCCCTTTGTCAGTCTCTTTGATTATAATGTTAGAATTGGTTTTGAGGCTGTGTACAGCATTGCATATTGCATGACTGAGGTTATACGATGTCAGCCCATGCACGTTTGCGGATTTCTGTTGTCTGATTTATGGGCATTAATTCTTTGGCTTAGTGTCTGAGAAGTCTGTCCAATATACATAGCAGAAGGACACTGTTGGCACATGATGGCATAAATTATATTTCTGAATGAACAGGAATATGTGTTCTTGATTGTATAACTGATATGGTTAGGTCCAGTGATGGTGTCACCAGAGTAAATATGTGGACAAAGTTGGCAACGGGGTTTGTTGCAAGGGAAAGTTCCAGGGTTGGTATTAATGTGGTATGTCCTGTGGTGGTTGATAAGAATCTTCCGGAAGTTAGGTGGTTGTCTATAGGAGACTATGGGTCTGTCCCCCAAAGCCTCTCAGAGTGTAGTATCCTGTTCCAGTATAGGTTGTAGGTTATTGATAATGCGTTGGAGGGTTTTAAGTTGGGGGCTATAAGTGATGACAAATGGTGTTCTATTGTTGGTATTCTATTGTTATTCTCTATGGGCATGTCTACACTACAGTGTTATTTGAAATATCTTATTTCAATAGCTTATTTCAAAATAACGCGTCTACACACAAAATGCATTTCGAAATAGCATTTTGCTACTTCAAAATAGCGCATCCACACTGAGTGGACTTTGAATCGCATTTAAGGCTGGCTGGAACCAGTTACAGCAGGGCACCAGGTCAGGACTTACTGTGAGGGGCTACTGCCTGAGAATATCTGAGTTCTGTGCTTAAAGGGACCCCTTCTCCCGGACAGCCAGTTCTCAGGTTTCCCTGCTTGCTTGTCTACCTCGATGAGTGACAGCAAACCATTTTGTCTCTGCATGCTCTGGTTGCTCTCACTCGGGTGGGCAGGATTCACATTCTTTGTGCACGCCCTACAGGGAACTTAGGTGTTGACTACGAATATGAATGGTTAACTGGTTACCTAGTAAACATCCCCTTAAAGGGTAATGCTTATAATCAGGGCTCACCGAGCGGTGGCGAGCCCCGCTCGCCAGCTGTGCGGTTCTGCGCTCTGCGCAAGCCTTTCCGGAGTGTAATCTACTCGCCACAGGCGAGTAGATTACATTTTTTGTTGAGCCCGTGCTTATCATTTACAGTTAACCGGCAGGGGGCTGCAGCAGCCCTCCAGCCCTGCAAGGCCTGTGATGGGTGGGGGATGCTCCAGCCCAGGCGAAGCAGTCCCCTGTCCACAGTGGGCCTGGCCCAGCAAGCTGAAACAGCAGGCCCAGCTTGGCACACCACAATGAGATTAGCCCCTGCCTTTTGTGGGGGAGCCACTCCCACCCACCCACCTGGAATTGCCTGCATCTAGTCAAAAAATGGATACCTGGCAATTTTACGTGGGTCCGAGCTTACCAGCTCCAGCAGTTGCTGTGCAGCAGCACATGACTGACCTGTTCCATCAACTCCTGGCAAAAATCTTGAGGAGGAATGTCTCAGAGCTTCAATTCTTGGGGAGGGTCATGCTTGCTAGAGCTCAAGGCTTCAATAAAAGCAGGACTGAAACTCTGAGAACCAAAAGGCTGAAGCCCTGGTATGTGTCTCCGATGGAGCGGAAGCCCCAAGCCCCTCAGGTGTGCCCTGGCTCTTGAACTTCTGAAGATTGTTGTATGCAGTTTGGAAAGTCAGTAATTTTGGCTACCCTGATATATTACTTGAGGCAGGACTAATAAATTATTCAGACATCTGATATTTTTTAAACACTGCCTTTTATATTATCCAAACTATGCAGTTTAAAATAGGGCTATTAAAGAAATAAATTCAGAAATGATTGTCTTTTGGTGGTTGCAAAATCTTACTCTCTGGATAAGGATATTTATATTGAAGACATAGTTGTTAGCTCACAGCAACATCAAATGACATTACTAAAGAACCAGATTAATCCATTTTACTCTTTTCTTGTTAATACTTACAATGGGGTATTTTTCCATCAAACCACATTCAAGGCTCCAAAAAGCACTTTGTTAGAGTGCTGTAGCTGGAGATTTCAATTCTCAGTACCCTGCACGTGTTGTTTTCCAACTGCTATTATGACACCACCTTTACCTATGCATTGATAAAAGTTCAACATCTGCCAGTCTCTTTTTTATATATCATGTTGCAGATGTTGTTCAAACAAAGTTTATCCAGAGTGGGCTGGTGAATCTAAGAAGGAAGATGAAGAATCAAACCAGGAAATCACGTGGCCAGAAGAACCTGCTGCAGTGGGTGCTAGCTTTAGCTATATATTTATTTTTAAATCAGTTAAGCTATGACATAGTGTATTTACATGGGCAGTGGGTATCATAGGCAGGGGAAAGCATTGCATTCCCAAACTACCTCTCCTGGCCCCATCTGTGCTCCACCAGAGTCCCTCAGGCCCTCTCCCCACGCCTGCTTTTGCTATGTCAGATGCTAGGGGCTGCACCACACTGTTTGTTCTACTGGCGCTGGGGCCAATCTGGCCACCCAGTGCTGGGACAAGTGATTCAACTACAGGGGTAGAAAGAGGGCTTCCTGGTCCAGCTGGCAGATATGGCTGGGACAAGTACAATTGCACAGTCCTCCTGCTCTCTGAAACTCCGGAGCCGGCACAGATTGTAACCAAGCCGTCCACTGTCTCTTCAGGGCCAAGACAGGCTGCAGCCGTGCCAGCCGCCAGCTCTCTGAAGCTCCAGGTCTAGAGCAAGCTGGAACTGCGCTGCCCACCAGCTTTCCAGAGCTCCAAAGCAGGCTTTAACTAATTTATCCTGGGCTGGGAGCACTACGCTGGGTCAGGGAGCAGGTGCAAGGACCAGCAGCCACATTGAGAGAGAGGGAGGCTCAACAGGGACCAGCAGCAGCCAAAGTGGAGGGACTGGGCTATGGTGGGGATAGAATGGGCAGGGCCTTAGCCAGAAGGAGGAGGGCTGGGGGCTTGCCTTCCCTAAGCTATGGGTCACCCACTGCCCAAGGATGTGTATCATTGTTCCATAATCACTGGTTGAGTGCAGGATAAGTAGCCTTGTGCCTTTAACCTACCCAGTGAATGTGACTATGGTAACTAAATACAAAGTCTGAAGTGCTGTTTTTGGATTTTATGTCCTACTCTGTGCTAGTATAGATAGCTAATATAGAAAAAGACTGGGATTTTCAAACAAACCCAAAGGAGTTGAGCCAAACATCCACTGAATTTCAATGGCATTTGGGTGCTCAGTTCCTTAAATTCCTTTGAAAAAAAATGCATCCAAAGATGCTTTTCAAGCCACTTCATTGAGAAAAATCCTGAGGTTTTACTAGTTCCTTACTCAGGAAAAATTCCCATAGACTAAGGACTGAATCATTCTTTGCTGTGATAAAAAGTGCAGGAAGTTGTTCCTTAATCTTTCTGTTGGGTCTCAATATATCTCAAAAAGAGATATACCGGCATTGGAAAAGGTTCAGAAAAGGGCAACAAAAATTATTAAGGGTTTGGAATGGGTGTCATATTTAGAGAGATTAAAAAGACTGGGACTTTTCATCTTAGAAAAGAGGAGGCTAAGGGGGGAGATGTTAGAAGTCCATAAAATCATGACAGCTATGGAGAAAGTGAATAAGGAAAAGTTATTTACTTGTTCCCATAACATAAAAACTAGGGATCACCAAATGAAATTAATAGGTAGTCAGTTTAAAACAAACAAAAGGAATTTTTCTTTACGCAGTGAATAATCCTGTGTAACTCCTTTCCAGAGGATGTTGTGAAGACCAGGAATCTCAAAAAAGAACTAGATAAATTCATGGAGATTAGGTCCAGCAGTACTTATTAGCCAGGATAGGTAAGAATGGTGTCCCTAGTCTCTGTCTGTCAGAGACTAGAAATGAATGACAGGAGCTGGATAACTTGACAGTTACCTGTTCTGTTCACTCCCTCTGAGATATCTGGTATTGGCACTGTCAGAAGACAGGATACTGGGCTAGATGGACCTTTGGTCTGACCCAGTATGGCCATTCTTATGTTTTTATGGGTCTCCTGTGTCCCCGTCACGAAGCAGCAGACATGGCCACACAGGGTCCATTAAGAAACCTGCAGAACCACACTAAAGCTGCATTTCCACAGCTGTCTTAGGGATTCCCCTGGAAGGGATTCCCTTTCTGTCCCAGGCCCCACTCTTGCCCTGCCTCTTCCCACTCCTGCTACACCCAGCCCCATTCCCACTCCACCCCTCCCCATAAGCCTCCTTCTTCGAACGATTCTATCCGGGGAGATTACCATGAGGGCTTGGAACCAACAGCAGGGGTTCCCCCTCCTGCACTGACCACAGCAGGGGAGCTGGAGCAACCCAGCAGCCTGCTCTGCTGCCAGGTCTCAACTGGGTTGCTCCACTCCCAGGGCTGGATTACCCAATAGGCAAATTAAGCACGTGCTTAGGGCACCAGCAAAGCAGGGGCACAAAAAAAAAAAAAGAGAGATTTGACAGTACAGTATTGTTTTTGTTTTGAATTACATATGGGGTGCACCATAATCTTTTCAGTGCATAGGGCCTCTAGCAGGGGCACCAAAAAAAGAAGAAGAGATTTTATGGTATAGTATTGTTTTTATTTTGAATTGCATAAGGGGGGGACACCATAATCTTTTCAGTGCTTAGTGCCTCTAAAGGTCTTAATCTGGCCCTGTCCACTCCCCATCACTGCGGTGAAGCAAGCAAGCAACCGTCTGGAACATGGCAGCAGAGCAGAGCATACAGCTGTGTTGCTCTGCTTCCTGCAACTTCCACCACCATAGTGAGTGAATGGGGACCTGATTCCTGCTATTGCCCCGCAGCAGGCTTCCCAGGTAAACCCTTGGGCCTTGCAGGCTAACCTCAAATTAGAGGACTGTCCCATCCGGAGGATGGTCGGGGCGGCCAAGTGCAGGGCCCTCACTGGCTACCCTGAACCATCCTATAGACAGGACAGCTCTGCCTGGCACCACACATATTTGTTGGCCCTCAGGGGGCAATGGGGTTTGGCACAAGGGGATGAGAGAGGCTGGTACCCAGAGACAGAGGCCAGGAGGGAGAATGTGGCTTGGTGCGTTAGGGACAGTCCTGCTCCTCCCAGCCCAGCATGAGCAGTGGCACCATTTCAGATTTTGGTGGGTGGGCTACCTATGCATTCCGTGATGGGGGAAGAATGAAAACATGGCTTCAACAGTGTTACTGAGCATTCTCAGTGTTACTGAGCAGATCGGAGGGAAGGGGGGGGGAATGAGCCCCCCCCATCACTTCTTTCCAGGAGCCTCTAAGGCAGTGGAAAACTGATGTTTTTTGCATATATCTTAGCAATTAGTTGACAGAAGCATTGTATCTAATTCCTGGGTAAAACAAATACATATTAGACCCACTCAGTTCTAATACTTACATATTCTGACATCTTGTGGCAAGTCACTTAAGGGACACTAGTTAGCCTTAACATTTTAATATATATATTCTTACTTTGTTACTATGTGGGGAGAGAGACTGTCAGGACTCTTGGGCTCTATCTCAGCTCTGGAAGGGGAGTGGGGTCAAGTAGGTTATATCAGGTGGCAGATACATTTCAGCTCTATATAAGAACATCATAATGGCAGACTGGCTCAGATTAATGGTCTAGCTAGCCCAGTATTCTGCCTTTCAACAGTGGCCAATGTCAGATGTTTCAGAAGGCATGAACAGAAGAGGCAATCATCAAATGATCCACCCCTGTTGCCCATTCCCAGCTTGTGACAGAAGCTAGGGACACCATCCTTGCCCATTCTGTCTTGTAGCCATTGATGGACTTATAGTCCTTGAACTTATATTTTTCTTAATGGAACCCTGTTATAATTTGGGCCTTTCCACCTGTCATGGACTCACAGGGTGTGCCCACACTTGGCCTGTATGGTCCCCAAGAAGAGCTCCCTTTAGTGCAACAACCCCTTCTCAGGGGTCTACTCTCTCTTGGAGGTTAAGTACCTCCATCTCTTGGAACTGCACCTCTCAGAGCCTCCAGCCTGTTTCTTTCTGTTGGCCTCTTCAGTCCATTTGTTTTGGATCCCTGGACTCTCTGCTCCCAGAGGGAATAGCGCAACCCTGTTCTCTAGACTGGAGTGACTCTCAGCCAGCATAAAACAGAAGGATTTATTGAGCATATGAACACAGCATAGGAACTCTGAGGGCCTATAGGTCTGGCCTCCCTCAGCATAGCACGTCTGAATCTCCCCTGCATCCAGGTGGGTTCTGTCTGCTCCCTCCTGCCCATTCCAGAAACCCCCTCCTACCTGCCAAGCCTGGGATATATCTTTCCAGCAGATCCTCCCTTGGCCTTTTTCCCTCCAGGTAAACAGGGTCTCCTGGGCTCCCCCTCTTCACTGCTGCTTCTCTAATCCGACCTTTGTTCCCCCGACTGCAACCAGTCAGGTCACCAGGGTCCTCTCCAAAGCCCATTGTCCTCCCGGCCTCCCGCGGCCAGAACTGGCTGTGTGTCTGAGCTGGGTCTCCCTGTCACCAGTCACTAGGATCTCCATTCTCCAGGCCTCTGGCCAGGGTCCCCAGTTCTGTTCTGGTCCCTGTAACAACAAACTCCCTCTTTGTTCAACATGTTCGATTAGTAGCACTCAGGGACACTGAATGCCATCCCTCTGCATGTGACCCCTCCCACCCCAAATCTCCCACTTGATCACACCATTATCCCCTGGCAAATAGTTCCACAGGTTGACTGTGCAGAAATAATTTCTTTTCTTTGTTTTCAATCTGCTAACTATAAATTTCATTGGGTGAACTTCTTGGCTGCGTCTACACTGGCCCCTTTTCCGAAAGGGGCATGCTAATTTTCAACTTCGTAATAGGGAAATCCGCGGGGAATTTAAATATCCTCCGCGGGATTTAAATAAAGATGTCCGCCGCTTTTTTCCGGCTTGTAGAAAAGCTGGAAAAGAGTGTCTAGACTACTTCAAAGAAGGAATAAGAGATCCTCCGGAATAGGGCTTCATTCCGGAGGATCGGGCCAGTCTAGACGCTCTTTTCCGGCTTTTCTACAAGCCGGAAAAAAGCGGCGGACATCTTTATTTAAATCCCGCGGAGGATATTTAAATTCCCCGCGGATTTCCCTATTACGAAGTTGAAAATTAGCATGCCCCTTTCGGAAAAGGGGCCAGTGTAGACGCAGCCAAGAAGTTCACCCAATGAAATTTATAGTTAGCAGATTGAAAACAAAGAAAAGAAATTATTTCTGCACAGTCAACCTGTGGAACTATTTGCCAGGGGATAATGGTGTGATCAAGTGGGAGATTTGGGGTGGGAGGGGTCACATGCAGAGGGATGGCATTCAGTGTCCAGTCCTATTGGAGGTTGGAAAGTCATAGCCAAGGCATGCTTGCTGGGTTTTTTTCTGTATTTCCAAATGACCTTTTAGATTGCATTGCAGGAGTGCAATTAAACAACTTACATATGGTAATCACTATATGTAGATAGAATGGATGTATAAAGTGTATTAGGTGGGTCTAGTCCTGTTTCTGTCATTCTTCTGTACAGGCAGTCCCCGACTTACGCGGATCCGACTTATGTCGGATCCGCAGTTACGAACGGGCCTGCCCCAGAGTACACGGACTGCGGGACCTCGCGGTCCTGCCGCCCGTGTACTCTGGGGCTTTGCTCTGCGTCTCCCTGGTCTGCAGACCAGGAAGACGCAGAGCAAAGCCGCGGAGGGGCTCGGGGCGTGGGGCGGG